TGCCATCATAATAATGTTAAGTCTTCCAATCCATAGACATGGAATGTGCTTTGGGTATGTTGGGAAGGCTCTGCATTGGGGCTGTAGGTAGGCTCCAGAGAGAGGAGGCCTAAGCCTGTTCTTAAAGGAACAGAAGTTTGGAAAAAAAGCAGAAAAAGCCATTCCCAGCAAAGAGAACTTTTAAGGCAGAGAGGAGTGAGAGGGACCCAGTAGAGCCAAAGATGAACAAACAGCTTGAGAGCGGAGGCTGCAAACGGATGGTGACCTGTAGACAGATTTTGCAGGGGCCAGAGTAGTTTATAAACTTGAGTCACATTAATAAGTAGAGATATTTTATTAGAAACAGAGATGGTTTATAAAAAAGCCAAGATTGCCTGCTTCTCTTAATGAAAACAAAAAAAGCTGGCCACCTGGATGGAACTAGGCGACCATCCCCCTCAGAAGAGGTCTGTGCACTCCAGTTCATCACAGTGTTCACCTCCCAGTCCAGATTCAGACAGATGGGCATTCATGCTTTCATCAAGCAGTTGCAATAATTCAGACCACCAGTTACTTGGCATTTTAATTTTGAGCTTCTGGTTAAGCACTTTTGGAAATTAAAGAGCTGGGGATAGGTAGGGGAATTCGGCAGAGTTAAACTAGAGGAGTAGTGGTATAAATGAAGTGTGCTGAGGGCTAGAGCTAGGGACAAAGGCCCTGGGAGCCTAGTGCTGGGGCGTAGGTATTTAAAGGCACAGTACTGGGGCAGGAAGGGAGTGAGGTGGCTGAATTAGAAGGCAGAGAGTGAGAGAACCCTAGGGAGCTCATCCACAGGGACCAGGCTCCAGGCACAGGGCAGAGTGGATATGGGAGGGAAAATCTAGCAAACGAGGCATTTGGATATGGAGAAAGCCAGGAAAGGCCCTTTCCTGAGTGATTTAGGCTGTGGTCTCTGTATAGGGCCCCTCCTAAGGCATCTCCAGAGCCAGCAGGTGGGAGGGCAGAGGAGTCTGGGTGGGGCCTGAGAAGCCCTTTTATAGCTGTGAAGTTCTGGGAAGCCACAGCACCCATAGCAGGACAAGGGGAGGACAGAGGCCCAAGTTTGGGTGCACAAAGACTATTTCAGAATGGCACTGTAGGAGGGGGAGGCCTGACGCATGGGGATAACCCATGATTTCATGGGCAGGAGATGGTGGTCAGAACGCTGGAGATGGACCAGCTCCCAGAGGTTTTCTGGCTCATGCTCCACCATGGGACCCTGGTGCCCCCGTGCTCACTCAGCCTCTGCTTGATTGTTTCGGTGTTAGGGTGCATACTGGCCCAGGAGACTGCCAGTACCAGGAGGTGACTCTGATGAAAAGACTCTATGGAGCTGAAGTCAAACTTTTTGCCTCCTGGTCCTGCTCCTAAGGCCAGACTGAACGCCTTCCTTTGTCTGAGGACAATTTTCCTCACCCCTCTGGGTTCTTAACCACTTCTAAAGGTGGTGTTCTGGGACAATGACTCTGGATGTGGCCCCATTTGCCACTGGCTCTCTGAAATACAGCTCACAAAAGTCACTGGAGGATGGGGATGGGGCCTCCCTTGGCCATATACATTGGTGGCATTGAGGGTTACACTAGATTTTTTTAATTCTAAGCATCAGGCTGTGCAAGTGGGAATTTATAAGCTTTATCTCAACAACTCCATGAGCTAAACAGGAGGCTCAGAGAGAACCAGTAATGCCCCAGGTAACACCATCGGTGAGAAGCTAGGCTGCAGCCAATGCCAGGTCTTCGCCTCCAGGCCTCCTCCCACCACTGGGGCCCAGAGCCCTGTGCTCTGGCTGAGGGGCTTCTTTACCAAGGCAGGTTGGAGAGTCACACTGCAGGGGAGTGTGCGGCTGCTTGCCCTGTTCTGGTGGGACCGGGTTTAACTGACTCTGGCTCCTACAGCACAGTCAGTCCTAAGATGTCCCATTGCCAGACCTGAGGAATCCCACTCTGGGATGTGCAGGGCAGACCAGCCCCAGGTTAGTGGAGGTGTTCCCTTGCCCAGCTCTCAACTCCACCTCCCTGACTTCCTGAGAGGGGCTCCCCCACAGGACTTGAACTTGCATGGAGGATTTCAAGGCTGCTGGGCTCCTCTCATCCCAGTTTAGCTGTGCAGCTGCAAATCAGGGCCTGAAGCTTCCATAGGAGCAAACATGCCTGAAAAAGGCCTTTCCCCTCTCTCCTATTTCCCTTTAATGTTGTTTTGTTTTTACTCCCAAATGCAAAATGTAGCTTTCTAATAAGTCACCACCCATTTGTATTTGACCTTGGGCATCAGCCATGTGGTACTCCTCACAGTCCCTATCCCCAAATGCGTTTTCTCACTTCTCTGCCTTAGACGATACCACTTGAAAGGAGGTGCAAGCCTCCAAGTGTCCCCAGGGGCTAACATGTGCTGGATATTAAGGATACCTAGACATGGGCCAGGGTGGACACCCTGGGTGGGTATGCAGTACTCTCAGCCCCAGGCGTCAAACCTCTCTGCCATCTGCATCCTGGGGCCTGGTGTAATCCAGAGGGCAGTAGGAACTGGATTAAAATCACTGGGAGAGATTTAAAAAATGCCCAAGGTTATAAAAATAGTCATGGGGATATAAAATGCAACACAGGGAATAGTCAATAATATTGTAATAATCATGTATGGTGCTGGATGGGTCCAAGAATTACTGCAGCGATCATTTTATAAGGTATGTAAATATTTAATTGCTATGTTGTATACCTGAAAGAAATAATCTATGTCAACTACAATTGAAAAGTAAATTTAAAAATATGCTCAGGGTCCATTCTCACAGATTCTAGAACTCAGTTCACCTGGGGTGAGAGACACCAGCCTAGTGGAATAGGCATTTCCAGGCTCAGTTTGTAGGATCAATATGCATGTCCCTCCCTAGTTCTAGAGGTGAAAGGTCATGCCAGAAACCTCAGGGCCTGCCTGAGTGGCAAGTCCTGCAGAGAGCAAATACAAGGGTGGGCCAAAGTAGGCTTACAGTGGTACATACACAAAACAGAGCTTTTTCTTGTATTACTATTTTTTAAATTGTTGTTCAAGTACAGTCGTCTCCCTTTTCACCTTACCATGCCCCCCTGTCTTCCCACTCTTGAAACCTACTCCCTTTGGCTTTGTCCATGTGTCCTTCATACATGTTCCTTGGTGGCCCTTCCCCTTTTGTCCCCTATTATCCTTCTTCCACTCCTCTCTGGTTACTGTCAGTTTGCTGTTTATCTCAATGTCTCTGGTTGTAGTTTATTAATTATTGTATTATTTTGCATATGAATACTGTAAACCTACTTTTGCCCACCCTGTGGGAGAGGAAGTTTCATGAGACAGGGAGAATGCTGGTGCTAGAATCCAGGCAGCTGCAAAGCAGGGAGCTCTGAACCAGGGAGGAGGCAAGGCTAGGTCACACTCAAAGTCCCCCAAATCTGGCCAGGTAGGAGTCAGAGCACACAAAAGCCAGGCAAAACATGGATGCTTTTGGGCCAACAGCATACAAAAAGACTAAGCCCAAAGAGTCTGGAACTTGGATTCAAGTTGGCAACTGCAGGTCACCTAAATAAACGGGGGGAGGTCTGGCTTGACTCCAAGTTCATAGGTACTTTTTCCTAGAATGGGTCCTCAACACTCTAGACAGGCCAGTGCACCTCCCTGACCAGAACCAGGGACAGCCACTGGACACTGGTCTGGAAGGCAGGCAGTCTTGGAGGAACAGGGATTGCAAATCAGGGAGGAAGAGAAGAAATAGGATAAGTAGAAAATTCTGTGGGTTGAGAATAAGGCCTGAAGATGTCCCTGAGGACTAAATAGGGTCATGAGGGGGAATACCAGGTATGGGTAGTAGGTCTTGCCCTCTCTCTTCTAAGAGGTAAGGAAGGTTCTGTTGAGGGACAGGCACCAGGCCAGGGAACTTGGAACAAAAAGGTGCTTGGGTGTACATCTTCCTGCAAGCTAGGTGTATACCAAAGCTCTCTGGGGCCTGGACACCAGTCCCTACACACTTCTTCCTGGCTACGAAGGGCCATGCCTTCCTCGGGACCAAGATCTCATGCCATTCAGCAACTATTCACTCTCTACTGCTTCTGTATGAGCTTCTCATAGGTTGCACATGTGAGGTCCCCACATAGGATAGAAGTACAGAGGCTTAACCACGAAAATTCAAATGCAGCGGGGCTTACAATAACTAGGCTGACAGTTTTAGAACAATTCCCTACAGTTAGAAACTGGGCAGTGCTGAGCTTCAGGGGGGTGAGTGGAGGTGTGATAGGAGATGGATAGGCTCATTTTTTTCTTCAACTAAATTGAGTAGAAAAGATCCAAATAAATGCAGGTCTTTAATCAGAACATACTTTTTGATAGCTATTAACTTTGAATATTAATGGGTAAATTGTATTAGGTTTCACTTCTGCATAGCCTTTTCCTAAAAACTGTAGCCCCACAATAATTGGCTCTCACTGAGTCCTAAAGCACCGTGGTTCTCAAACTTGAGCATATGTCAGAATAACCTGAAAGGCGGAGGGAACATGGGGCACCTCTAGAGTTTAATAGGTTTGGGGTGGGGTCTGAGAATTTGCATTCCTAAGAAGTTCTGATACTACTGATACTGCTGGTCTGGGGGCAACACTTTTCGGGCAACACTTTGAGAACTATAGCTATTAACTCATAATCTCTACCATACAGCTAACTATTTATATCTTGCCTAGAACTGATCCAGAATTATGTTCTGCATGTCAGTCTGTCTTCCCGGCCAGCTCTCAATTCCCTGGGACAGGGATTGTGTGCTTTATATTTTCCTTTACATCAGTTGGCATATGTTGGACACACAATAGATGAAATATTATATATTGAGAAAAACTTGAAAGAATTTGGTTTCTTCAAGCAGACAGGGATCATTTCTGTTTCATTTTAGGATCCTCACATTTTGAAAAAGAGCATCTAATTTTTTTTCCATTATTCACATTTGCAGAGGAAAATCTTAATATCCCAATCTCACAAAATACAAGTTTCAGTCTTGATTTAGGAAAAAAAAGAGTTCATTCCTTCATTTTTCCAAACAATGTACAGTACAACTGAACGACAATGCACATGACTGAAAAATGCGACTGCATTTTATATTTCTCACTACTTTTTAAATAATTCAGATATTAAGGAAAAGAACTGCTAATCACATTAATGCATTACAGAAATCAAAATTAACTTACCACACAAAATAAATTAAAACATTATTAAATATTAACCTTTTCAGTGCAACATATACAGAAGTCAGAGTAACAAGTTCTTTTAAAAAAAGCATCAGGTTTGTTATAATAAAGATAATGAAAAGTTGAACACTTCCGTCAGTTATTACATTAGAAAGAGGGGTTGCTTTTCAGTACTGCATGGGTGTGCTTACCTCTGGATCTTTCAAAAAGCCTGGTGAGATCAGTGGCTACAGAGAACAGGTCTTATGTTAGAACGTTAAGAATGAACATAGGTGTCCACCTGTTTCTGTGATGTCCCCCATGGTCCTGGGCTTTTGAATCATCTCCTGACCCCCCTTTACTGAGCAGGTTGGAAGAAATCAAAGCCAAGACCCTACTAAGGGGCCAGTGTGCCCTGAGCAGCGTCCGAGCCTGGTTGACCCATTCCTGCCAAAGTGCCTGGAAAAGCACCTAGTTGGATGGCCTAGTTGAAGATGCCAGACTCTTTTTTTCTACCTGCAGAGAACTGTCCCCCAAGAAGCTCTAGAACCACACCTTCCCCTCCTTCACCAAAGGGGCTGGGGGAGTGTCAATCCCACCTCCTCCTTTCTCAGGAAAGTAGACTTGGGGGACATTCTACCCACCTCTTCTGTTGGAACACAACGGCAAGCTCATACCTTGCTTTTTTCCGCTTGTAGCCAGACATGTTTTCCAGATCAAGCTAGGCTGGTGTATATTTTCCACCTAGAAGACAGTGTTCCCTGCCAGTGCGCTTGAAGGAGTCGCAGCCTGTAGAACAGGCTCCATAAAAGATGTGGAAGCACCTTCGTCATTTTTTAAAGGAGTTTTTTCACTTCTCCTGAGACAGACATTGAAAACAGCTGTGTTCCCTGCTCCCAGGTGTGTGGCTACCTATCAAGTCAGGTCTTTGGAATGAGTCCCTAATCATCATGAACACTTGGCTTTCAAAAGAGCAAGGAAACACAAGGAACATGCAGACATGGATTAGAAGTTGCATTTTTAACCTGAGATGGGGGCATTTTACAACTAACCAAAGAAGCACCAGTGCATGAGATGGCACAGGAATCAAAGCATGTTGGCCATCTGACTTCTACAAGAGAAATCACTAAAGAAGTAAGGCCGTGTCATATCCTGGTGGATAGATAAAGGTCCAACAGGACTGCCTTGACCCCAGACTCTGCTTCCAGCTCTTTTCAGACCTAGTTTACAGAGGACTGGCCCGAGAGGCATATTTAGGGTTGCACACATTCGAGCCTGCTCACTGTGTGGTCTTGCAGGCACAAGGAAGGGGGTGCTGGTGGCTATGACTTGTTAGACCTGAGGATGAGAGTGTTCACAGATGCTAAATTTGAAGTCCCCACAGGGAACCAAGAAGGTTCCTTCTGCTCCTATCCATGTCTCCTCACACCTCTGCAAAGGCTCTTGGAAGCCTACAGACTGGACGCTGATTTTTCCATTCATTAGGTGAAGAAAGCCCTGCAAACATTTTCATATCAGTCCATATCCTTTAATGGCACTCAGACCTCAGAGAGTCTCCAAAAGACTGAGAGAGATTGTCCTAAAGTAAAAATGTGACCTCGGGTTAACAAATGACACTACTTCACTTCCATTAGTCTCTCTAAACAGGAACCTCAGACCTTCAGAGTCTGATGGGAAAAGTGACATGGAGTCTGCAAGCCAGCAACAATTGGATTGGTCTCCGTGTGAGCAGCTACGCATACCAGCCTCGGCCCACATATCTGTTGCTGTAGGACTGGTCCAAGGAATGTAAACTTAGGCCTATTTTCTTTTGTAATTAAAACCTGGGAGCTGCATCAATTACATGGTTGGGGGGCCAACTGGTGAACAGATCCCATTTCTGCTCTCAGAGCTTTGGGTGCACCATGGTTCAATGGAAGTGCCAAGGTTAAGACATGGGTCAAAAATTGTCTCAGCTGTAAGAAAGAGAGAAAAAATTCATTGAAATAGACAGACTGGAAAGGAAGAATTAGGGGAGGACAAGATTAGCTGGTAGAAATTTCAAGCTGACTTGACATATTTTAATGGTCACTTCCATGATATGAGAAGCTCAATGCATTGAAGGATTAAAAGCTAGAAATCTTTCATTTTCCCCAAATATTGTTAAAGAAGACTTCCTTTGCATGAATTTATATATTATTTCATTGTTATTCCATTCCCAAATTTTAATGACAGTCCCTAGGGATGTGCCCCTTGCTGTTTAGTAGGAGGGGGCAGTGCTCCTCACAGGCCGGACAGTGGGCCGGGATGTGCCTCGTGCCCAGGAGGACAATTCCTCCCTTCTCTGAGGGGAAAGTGAGACCCTCATTGTGGAGACGGCTTGTGAGAGCTTTGAAAAACAAACAAACAAACAATCACTGGAATATTTCTCCTCATACTTGAAAATAAATAAAAAAGTTAAATTTCTCCTTTTAAAAATGAAGTAGTAAATCCACCAAGTGACCAAATGGAAAATAAATGACCAGTCCTCCTTTCAAGGATGTGGCCCCAAATGCCCGTGGCTCACAGCTAATGCTCTATTTCGTAGCACACGCCCGGAAGCCGCTTGAGGAAGTTAATATGTTTTATCATGGAGCACTGTAGTGAGTATTGTGCTTAACCTGTGCAGAAACACACACATTCCTTCTCTCTTTCCCGACAGAGGTGACAAATCTGTGCTGCTGGATTGGCTAACTTTTCCACCAGAATGTACCCAGGGGCATTCACCTCCTTTTTATCTTAAATGGCACAACGTCTGAACCCCACTCCTTGCTCCCATCAGCGACTCAACTTCTGCTTCCATCTCTGTACCTTGTGGGTGGCTTTTCCAAAGAGGACACACATTTTTAATCAGTACTCTACAACTTTGCAGCCGGCAACACATCCATCATTAATGAAGAAGTCTGAAAGAGTTTTATGCTTTTTACATTGGCTTAAGAGGTTAAAAATAAAACCATCATCCAGCTAATAAATAATAAATCATCTCCGAGGGTGGTGATGATTTGGGAAGGTCCTCAGCATCATACGTATGTCTGTGGAAGATGTTGGGCTGGTTGAGGGTCTTGTGGACAGAGGACAGGCACAGCTCTTTGTAAAGTTGGTATCCTCATATAACAATGAGCAGCTACCCTTTCTCCACCTTCTTCCCCAATAAGTGGATGAGAAAAAGATGTAACAACTATACTGGAATCTCCAGTGCTGGGCAAGCTGCATGCTGCTGTGGGCCCATTAAAAAGAAACACAGCCTGGTATCCATGAATGGTAGAAGACAAGTACACCTGGACTCAGATGCTGGCTGATGCACACACCTTATGTGGGTAAATGGGAAGCCCACCCCTTGCAGTTCATTTTTGACCAGTCTTTAAATTGCGATCCATTAATTTCTTTTCTAGATCACACCAAATAACCCCAAGCAGACAGAGTTCTTGATAGAGTTTTGAAGGAAGGCCCACAAAAGACAAAGGCTGCACAGGCGATGCAGGCAGAGGAGGAAGGTCTGCCGCACATCTAGGGCATCCCTTGCTGGGCTGTCCTGAAGAGGTTCTTTCTTTATCAGGGCTGCCGCAGTCCATCTGGCTGAATTCCTCCTCTGGGATCTTCAGACCACTGTGAGGAAGGAAGAACAGGTTAAGCTCTGTGGGCCAGACTCTAGCCATGCTGGCAAAACCCCAAGTTCTGTCGGATAGTCAGACCCAAGCCCAAGCCCAAGTTTTGCTGGTTCCACTTCAGGGGCAGAAGCTTCTGAAACTGCGCTTTCAGTGCCAAAGAAAAAGCTGACCAAAAGTGAAACGAGTTGTGGCAGGAAAGAACGGGGGATGCCCTCTGTTGTGTGGGCACTCTGTTCAACCAGCCTGTGGCCAGTTCCCCCACAAAGAGTGGTTTAGTGGGCAACTCAAGAGCTGGTCCAAGATTCTGATGGTAGAATGGCTTCCCCTATGGCCATACAAGAATGGACCCATTTGTTTCTCAATGGGCAGGGCCCTGAGGGCATCCTCTGTGGCTGTCATGGTGAGGCAGCATGAGCCCCATTCCCAGCAGCTCCTCGGTCAGCCTGGACAACTTCCTGCTTGGTCCCTCCCATGATCCCTCTAGAGCTGGGGAGGTATGCATCCTCTCAGGGACAGGGGCTTCAGGCTCAGTGCCATCTCTGGAAGGCCAGACCCATCCCCATGCTCAAGGGTGAAGTCCTCTCAAACGTGGGTAGAGGAGAAGTAACATAAAGAAGAAATTTCCTGTACTCTGAAATGACTCTGCTGAGGTTCAGACAATTGGTACAAAATCTACTATAAATTTTCTTAAAAGATGTAAGTAATTTTTTGTTGGAGCTAAAAGACCAATAGATGACCCGAGAGGCAGTGGAAGAGGGATGTGAGTGAGGCCCTCAGGGGCCTTGGTTCTCATCCTTGCTCCCTACCAGACTCATGGTGGGACCCAAGCAGGCCTGTGACAGACTCAGTTTACCTGCATTACCCACAAATCCTGTTCCTCCTTAATGATTTTTTTTTGCAGATTAATGGATTAGCATCCTGCCAAGTCAAAAGCACTGCCCATGTGCCATTACTGTGCTTCTTGAAATGAAGACCAAATAAATGGTGCTCCCTGGGCTTCAGTTCCCTCCGGGCCAGATTCCATGAGGTTTAACAAACATATGAGTGTTTCAACTTTCCATTCACTTTTCTTCCTACACTCTGCATGGAACCTTGAGCTTCTGGAATGTTAACTGTTTACTAGTGAAGGCCACCTTGGGGTGGATCAGCCCAGGGTAATTGCCTTCTGACACATTACTTCCTGAAAAGGAAATTTTATGATGAACTCCGTTGGTCTAAGTACATTCCAAAAAAGCTGCTGATGTGAGATTTCCCAGAGCTTGCCTGGATAAAGGAGCAATTTGGTTCTGTGAGACCCAAGCTACTGATGCTCAGATGTGGACTCCTGAGGTGTACATTTGGCCTCATGTCTAGATGTACAGTCTGCTTCACAGATGTTGGAAAAACATTCACAAAACAAGGGAAAACTTAATGATGGTTACAGCATCTAAAAGTTTAAAGAGTCTTTAGAGACCTTCTATAGGCCAAATCCTTCACTTCACAGATGGGAAAAGGGAGGTGATTTTTCAAAGGAAAAGGAATGAGCACCTGTTGCATATCTACAGTTGGTGATCCACTATACTAGATACTTTATTCCCAATGCCTTTTTTTGATACTTATTCAAGTTACACAATACCTTTTTATTAAGAAAATTGAGGCTCAGAGAGGTTGCATAGCTTGTTAAAAGTCATACAGTCACCACTAAGGATAAAAGAGCTCCCTTTTGACTAAAACATAGCTTAGAATAAACTAAACCTAACTAAGTAGATAAATATCACCTTCCTTTTGTCCCTCCTCCTGCTTCAACCTCCAAGAACTGCTCTGACCTGCAGAAAAGGTGGCATTTTTCTCCACCCAATCAACAGTGACTCCCAAGGGGAAAAGGCCCCTCATGGATGAGGCCCCTTACCTGTTTCCGAGTGGCAGCAAGCAGTCCTTCCTTTCAGGAGCACACTGGGCTTCTCGTGCCGGCAGACAAGGGCCCGGCAGCACTCACAGTGTTTTCGGACCTGGCAGCAGCTGCAAAGACAGAGAACATAGTCAAGGCAGGAGCCTGGCAAGAACACCCAGAGGGTGCAGTGTCTGCCCGAGGGGCCTGCTGGGCAGCTCTAGGCTTAAAACAAGCCTCCTGTGGGGCCCTCCAGAGGGACAGACATTGCAGAGGACTGAGGGTTACTGGGGGTAACCTTTAGGGTTGGCACTGGCCAATAGCAAAAGCACCCATGGGCCACCCTGAAGTCCCAGCTCTGTCTGTGTAGCTCTGCTCAGGGCAGCCTGGCTCCAGCTTTCCTGGCTCTCACAGGGGTCTGTCACCACACGGCTGCCCACTCCATAAAGCAGCAGATGGGTAATTCTGTAAGCGTAGTAATAGCCTTAGAACTGCTTGCAGGACTGGGACAAAGCAGCCACTTCAGGCTGGTAGGGTATTGCCAACAGCCAAGAGGGGATGGTGGCCGGGCTGAACTGACCCATGGAAAGAAGGAGAGAATGAGTCATGAATCTCAGTGAATCCTGAGATTTGAATCCTTCTCTGAGGATTAATATCTTCTATCTGTGGCAAACTAACCTCCCAGTGAACCTGTGTTACCCGGAGTCCTGAAGAGTTAGGACTGTGATGGCTCCTGCCTCCCTCTATGGGCAGAACTAGCATGAAAAAAGAACCAGAGAACTCAAAAGAAGGTCAGAAAAGAAAGCACAAAGTCATTCATTACCCAGAGACACTGATGGCAGTTTTCCCATGGGATAAGAAGGAAGACTTCATATCCACTCATTTTAACCTTAATGTATGTATAACCTATGCATCTGCTGACTGGGGCTGGGAGGGATCTCCTGGCTAACAAGAGCCTGAGATAGATGAGGAAACAAGCCTGTTGCTGTGCTTCTTTCCCTCTTGGTGCCTGGTGGCATTTCATGATCCCCATCCCAGCCATGGGAAGGCTAGGGGGCCTGGAATCTCTGGGCAGCAGAGCTGAGACGGGGCCCTGCAACGTTTCTGCCCACCTTGCTTCTGGCGCAGTGGCCAGGGCAGTCTGCCTGGCAAGGGTCCCTCCTGAGTTGCAGTCCAGGTTCACCTCATGCCTCAGGCCTGGATACCAGATCCATCAGTGATTGCTGTCTTGCACTCAGCTAGCCAGGGAGACTCGACCCCATCATGATTCAGCCAGGAGCATCCCAAGGGAAGTGAAATCAAAGCCTCTTGATTTCTCTGGTGTGGAATGAGCTGGTCCCAACCAATTCTGCAACTCAGTAGGTCCCCCTGCCCAGGCAACTAGCAGCCTGGTGGACATGAGGGCTTAGGCACTGGCTCAGAGATTCTGAACTTGGTATCTGGCAAGGACAGGGTGGCAAAGGATAGAAGAAAGGTGGGACTGGCTGCCTTCCTGGAAATGAGAGAGGCTGTTCAGGTATCTTGGTTTGTTCTTATCTCCAAGAAATCTGGTGAAAACAAGCTTTTAGTCCCTCTGGAGAGACCACGTGGTAACTCAGTCTTATTCTAAGGCTCTAGGACCCTAATGGCTTAGAAAGAGGACTACAGAAGTGATGGGTGAGCACAGGTAGCTGGTAGTGGTCCATTAGGCCAACAGCTGCTACTGCTCCGCAGGGAGGGTCTTCATGAGTGGCAGAACCTGAGCTCTGCCCCAGCTTGAACCAGAGCTGCTTGTCTTTTACCTACAAACATGTTTGCCCAAGGCACATGCAAGTGGAACAGCTCCTGCTAGCAGAGGAAGGGGAGGCCAGCCCAGTTCAGACCTCAGCTCTTGCCACTTAACACCAGCTTGTTTCAGGAGAAGGATGAGACCAGGCTGTGGCTGCTGTCAATGGCTGGGGCTCTAAAGGCTACTCCTTTCATTGCCAAAACCTGGAACCTGTGCTTTATTTTTATTTATAATTTTTAAATTTAAATATTTTTACTGAGATATAATTAACATACAATAAACTGCACATATTAAAGTGTACAGTTTGATAGGTTTTGAGATTTGTACACACACATGCAACCATCACTGTGGTTAAGATAATGAACATATCTGTCACCCCCAGAGTCCCAGTGTTCCTCTGTCATCACCCCCACTTCTCCCTCTCTCCCACCCCACCCCACTTTCCCCAAGCATCCTGATCTACTTTCTGTCACTAGAGCCCAATTTGGTTTGTCTACAGTTTTATAACAATGGAATAATACAGTATGAACTTTTTTAAAACAACATAGTGATTAGATATTTATATAACTTACAGAGTGACCTCCCTAATAAATCTAGTACCCTTCTTTCACAACACATAGGTATTACAATATTATTGAGCATATTCCCTGTGTTATACTTCACATGCTCACGGTTATTTTGTAACTACCAATTTGTACTCCTTAATCCCTTCCCCCTTTTCTCCCATTCCCCAGGCCCCCATCTGGCAACTGTCGAATGTTCTCTGTATCTATGAGTCTGTTGTTTATTTTGTGTGTTTTTTTTAGACCCCACATATAAATAAAATCACATGGCATTTGTCTTTCTCCGACTTATTTCACGCAGCAGGAGTGTGTGTTTTAGGTGCCCCAATACCAACAAACCAATAAACAAACAGGGCAGAGATACTTATTTATCTCTGTCCAAAATCCTAGGCAACCCCAGAGGGCAAAAGTCTGGCTTCCTGCATTAACATACGGCTGTTTACTCCAGCCCTTGCCACAATGGCCCCATCCACTTACTGTCTCTCCACGGTGAGTTAATCTATACTAAGCTACTGGCAGTCTTTAACTGTGAATTCCTTATGCATATCCAGTTAGGTATAAGATCTCTGAGAGCTTGCTTTGTGACTTAGACATCTTCCAATGTTTCCAGGGAATATGTCTGGGCAGATGCTGGGAATGCACCCCTAGAGTTTCTCCCTTTGCAGAGCAGTCCTGTTGAAAGATACAGGCCAGCAAACAAGGGTAAGAAACATCTGAAAACAGTCTCTCTAATGGTCTGGGCTCAGGAAGGCTTCTTGGAAGATGCAAGGCAGAAACTCAGTTTTGGAGGATGAGTTGGGCAGAGAAGTGTAAAAAGAGGGCAGGCTGCCATTAACCTATCACAACAATTAACAGTGGCCTTTGTGTGGCTTTATGATTTGCAAAGAGCTCCTGTCCAAATGAGGCTGGGAGCTGTTTCTGGTTCACTCTGGAGCACCTGGACATCCCCATTGGGAAACAGAGAAGGCTCCAAACCCAATAACGGGGAGAGCGAGCTTGCCTTCAGTCTACGGGGCTTCCAGCAGTGCACAGGGCCACTGCTGGGACCCTTCCAGGATGTGTGCCATTTTGGCTGTCACCAAAGTTCCACTTGGCTGAGCCGACACCAATCAGACATCACAGCAATAAACTGCTGAGGTGGCCCTGTTATCTGGGCATGCTGCAGATGTCCCTGGGAAAGGAGAAGACTCAACTTTAGGGGCAGCAAATACTCACTGTATCAGCACACACGTGATGATGAGGCCAGCCAAGGCCACGATGGAAACCACCACTAAGGCAGTGATGGCCTGTTTCTTCTGGCTGGCGGCCACCACAGCCAGGAGGTCTGCGTGCTCACAGCGTGCTCCGATGTACCCAGTATGGCAGCTGGGGAAGAAAGGGACATCAGCATAGTCTCCTGGCAGAAAGTCTTGTTCCCTCAACTCCCCAGGGAAAGCTGGGCTGGAGAGACCCAAAGCTCTAGGAAAAGCCCAAAGAGACCCTTCCAGGTGTTGGTTAAGTCACTCCCACTTCTTGCACAGGCACCTCTTGCTTAGGGAATAAGGGGCAAGAAATCAGCTTTATCTCATGAGGAGGAAAGGTGCTGCTGAAGCGCTTCATTGTTATTGTCACCATGCCAGCACTTGGGGGAATGAAGAAAGCAGCAAATGTGTTGATGGCACTGAGTTCATTTTGGCAGTTTGTAAAAATTCAGGTTATTTTTAAACCAAATGTGTGCGTTCAGAATTTCTGACGATGAGCTCAAGAAAACACACTGAACCAGCTGGAGACACAGGCTGTGGTTTGCTTATCTTCTTCAAGTTTAATTAGTTCTGCAAGCAGTACCCTGGTGGCCCAGCACATGGGGCACATACTGAAGGTGGGGCCAGCAGCATTAACTAGTAGTGGTGGGACTTAAGAAGCCACTGATCTGTGAACCCTGGTCCTCATTTCCAACTACACCTGGCCTCTCTCCACTGAGGATTAGTAAGGGTCCAGAAGAGGTCACGTTCCTGAGCTGCCTGTAGCCTTTAAAGGGCAATGCCAACACAAGCTGTGATCACTACTGGTCTTGCTGTTACACAGAGGCTCTTTGGCATCCATCAGTTTAGTAACAGCTTCCTCCTATGTGATAAAGGCTATGCTGCTTCTTCCACATCACTCTCGCTTGTGCTACCACCCAACTCTGGGGCAACCACGAGTGGTTCTTACACGATCCCTTAGGATATGTTCTAGCCATTAGGAAGTGATGGCCATTTTCGGATGTAGGTATTTTCCACTCCTCCAAGCTTATGATTTTTTTTCAATAGAAGATACCTAGCTTACACACTGGTTCCTTTGTCTGGGTGACATTCAAATTGTGACGGAAATGTTTGATCACCAACGGATGCCTTCTCAGGTGGGGAGCCGTCCTTCCCACAGGGGACTTCCCTGAAAAGCAGCCTTGCACCAAACGGCACACACTGGCTTTAAGTTTTGTTTTGTTTTCCCCTTAAACATAGCAATGACAGCTGAACTTTTTTTATTTTAAAGAGTCTACCTTTTGATGAGGTAGCTAGTCTATCACTTCACTTTTATTTAAAAGACACCTGAGGAATAAGGAAAAATGAGAGGATGTGAAGGGTCTTCCTGGTCCCAGAGGCATTCTGTCTGGGAGTGTCCTGCACCTGTGCTCCTGGCTGCTAGACCCCAGACGCCAGCAGGGTACCTTGACCAGGTCCCCAAATACTGGATATCCTTGTCTTGTTATAATGCTGTTTCATTATAGCATTTTATTATAATGTCAATGAACTGAATTCTTTTCTAAAAATGTAAATCTTTATTGTATTTTCTCCCCATTACCATTTAGTCCCCTTATACCCTCCACCCCCCAGCAATCACCATACTTAATGAACTTAACTCTTACTTATACCAATTAGACTATGATAAAATTAGTTTCATATATGTCATTTCGTGTAAAGTCTCAGAGCTTATCAATGACATGGAGGACTTAAGGTACAGTATATTCTCCTGGAGTATAGGTTTTGCTCAATGTTAACAAAAATTTCATCATTTTAATGTTGAAGGAATAGGTATTCTACGGGTTAATATTTATGGCAAATGTTAGATGCTGCAAAAATTGCTGCTTAAGTCTACCACCTGGGACACCCGAACACACGAGCTTCTGTCTTAACACTGCGTGGTGGAAGTCTTTCACTGCACTTGTGTCCAGAGCCCAGTTGTTATGCGCCTTAGGGAAAGGTATTTTTTTAGTTTGAATCCAGGCATCTGCTTTCCTGTGAAGGGTTATCTTACAGTAAGCATATTTTTTCTCATTTAATCCTTGCACAGAAAAGTCAAGTCATTTGGCTATGCCCACCCTGCTAGGGAAGAGAGAAATTCATACCCAGGTCTGCTGACCCCAGAGTCCAGGTTCTCACTCACTCACCAGGCTGCTTGCCCTGCACGCTAAACAGGGGTTTGGATGAGAATGCCACAGATTCAGCTCTTGATCAAATCTAGCTTTTGGTTTAACCTCCAATCATGATAGTATCAAAGATTTGAGGCTATAGTTCAACAAGGGTGCAAAGGTATTCATTGTTTGGTAAGTAAGGAAGCCGAGGAGGGCCAACTAGGATGGACAGTGCCACATAGGGCTGGGCTCTCTACAGACCCATGGAGGAGAGAACAGGCCCTGGATGGAGAAGAAACAAAGCAGGAGAGGGGGGATCTCTAGCGAGAAGATCCTTCTTGGAAAAGAATCTGGACCACAGGAATCTGAATAAGAACCCTGGCTCTTACAGACATGGTCTGGCAGGGAGAAGACTGAGGGGCTGTGGGACAGGGGCTAATTTTTATTTTTCTTTTGTTTTTACTTGGTATTAACAACAATTATGTGAAGGCAAAAGTCAAAAAGTAGCTCATATAGGTTGTGGAGCAAACAAAGGCATGGGCCCATTACCACCAGGGAAAGCTGACAGCAGACTGGACTAGAGGCTGAGAGGCGATGATCAGCAGGCGTGAGCGATGAATAAATCTAAGCCGTCTTTGTTGACAGGGAACCATGCACAGGGTCCCTTCTCTAGCCCATCTTCGAGTTTTCACTCTGCATCCAGATGGCTCCCACCTGAGCTTTGGGCTTACTTTATCTGATATCTGACACCCCTTCTCTGTCGGACCCCAATCTATCCCTTCCACTTTATTACCCATGACCAAGGTTTCGGCTAACCCAAGTTGTCTCTCCCTCCTCACTAGCCCGGTGTCAAACTTGTGTCCAGCACATAGACACTCAGGACACACCTGCCTAATGAGTGAATGACTACCCTTCTTCTTCCCTGTCTCAGCTCCTGTTACCTCCTCCGCTTCAGACTCCATCTCAAAGACTACATTCTCCAAAAAGATGTGATTTACAGATCCAGTCACCCATCCATTCCTTTTTCATATTTCTTTCCTAGATCTCCCTGACCTTTCCTCCTCTGAATGCCCTTAGGACTAGTTGGACCTCTCTGCCGGCCCTTCCACCGGCCTCATGGTAGGCCAGCCTCCCTCCATGCTTCCCAGGCAAGGCCTAGCTCTACAAAAACTGGTGAGCCACTGAACAGAATGGGCTGGTAACCCTGGGCTTTGAGTGAATTGTTTGATTTCTACCCAGAAATTGCAGCCAGGCCAATGAGACTTCTCTATGGACAACTTCCTCCTAGAAAAAGGTAGTGTGATGAGGATTAGCATAAATGTTTGTGCAAGGTCCGGGGAACCGGGGAACAGGTGGGTGAACACCCCTGAGGCAAATTTCATGTGGTTTGAAATCTTGCTACTCTAACCTGCAGGCTTGATTCTAAAACATCCCCCACTAGTAGGTTCTGAAAACCCTATGAATTAACAACGAATGCTGGGAACTCTGAGAAATCCTATTTAAATAAAAGAGTGGCAGCCAGGTGCTAATTACAGCACATACCATTTATCTGGGAAGTATGCTAAACTCCTACTTGAAATACCTCTTTTAATCCCAACAATCACAGTGCATGTGAAGTCAGGGCTGTATTTACCTTGTCTTGCAGATTAGGAAATGGGAGCTTCTAGAGGTTTAAAAACCAATACTGTCAACCATGAAGGCTACCTTTCTGGGCTAATGACTTTCATGACAAACTCACAAACCTCAGAGCAAAAAGAGAGATGGGCTGCTGACGGCCCCATCAAGTGTGGCAAGTTCCAAATATGCTCCAGATTCTCCAGGAAGAGTCACTTCACCTGATTACAAATGAATGACACTTGACACAGCTGCTGTCCTCTCCTTTACCCCAGGCAGGCACTTGTTCCCACCTGGCTGCACATTAGAATCACCTGGGAGGCTCTGGCGACTGCCAGGGACATGGTCACACCCCAGGAGGTGGTCATCCCATTGCTCTGTGCGCCCAGGTGATTCCAACGCACAGTCAGGCCTGAGAACCACTGAGGTAGAACTATCACTGAAGTACATGGAATCAAGGTCCTGCAGTTCAGAGTCTGCCACTTCCCTCCCTCCCGTCCTTTTCCACCTTCCTCTCCTCTCCCTAGGCATTTCCTCAAGGTGATGGCTATAAAATGGGTCCTCTCATATCAAGTGCAGGAGAAACAGAAGATGCTACACCCCTGTTTAAGACAGGAATCTGAACCAAATGGGGGTTATGTTATGTCACAAAGGGAAATGGGAAATGCGAAAGACTGAAAAATATCACTTGACCATTCAGTTTCATCTGACTAGAGTGGGTTTTCACAGACACGAGGTTCTGGAATGCTGTTTTGCCTTCACAATGCTGAAAAGGAGGCTCTGGAATCACAGTCAGGCTGTTTTCCCAAACTAAACACCAGAAGGGAAGAAGTGCATAAAAAAGAGAGTGTAGCACTGGGAGGGTGGGGAGGCTGTCTGAGCTGCAAAGGGAGCTTGCAGCTGGAGATCAAAGGCTCCAGCCAGGGGGTCCCTGAGGCCTTTTCATTTTTGTTGCTGATTAAGTCTGGAGGTTATGTTGGTGCTGTTCTTAGGAGCAACCTCCCTGGCTGTAGGTCTCTCTGTTTTAACAAGAATTAAATGATGTGTCTTTCATTCTCTGCTGAGGGCTTGAGGGTCTTCCAGTCCCATGAAGCCACTGGGCTTCCTCCCTAAGTCTCTTGTGCACGTGGTTCCCAGTGAGTGCCCTTTTCAAATTGTAAAGAAATATGATAATGCATGGAGAGCTGTGCTCTTAAATTTTTTTAAGGAAAAATTTCCCCAACTAGAAAAGGAGTGCTTCTATGCAAATTGTGAAGTACATAAATTATTACAAAGCAGAAAGAAGAAGAAATAAGAAAGCCCACATGGTTGCACATCCCACCCCTGCAAATGGCAGTTCGATAAACATGCTTCCTTCCAGACTACTCCTATGTAGTTTTTG